ATGCATCATCTTGATACAACGATCCCTCAAAGGCAAAAAGAGGATCACGGATGAATAAATAAGATATATGACGTGCCAAAAGATTATCAATCCCTAAAATGTGATAAAAGTGCATAATCATTATCGCTTTTTATATTACAGTACGTAGAAAATATTAAGTACAGACGTACCATTATCTGTTAGTTTTTCATAAATATTTGGATCATACGCAGCATTTAGATCATTATACTCTGTCTTTAGAGCTTTATCGGTCGATATATAATAAGCTATTGAATCATAGCGTGACTTATTTATTAAGAATCGATCATTCTTAAGAGGCTATACGAAAGACAAGCATATGTTACAGTTAGTGTTGAATTAATCTTGGGCAGTTTTTACTAAAAATTTGATATATAAAATATGAAAAAAATCTAACTTCTAAACCCCGTTCTTCTTTTGTACGATCATCACCACATTCTACAAGCGCAAACCATCTACAATCTACCTCAGACAAATATCCTCGCCAAATTGGTGCAGCAGCAGTTAATGCCAACTATGTATGTATGTATATAAATATTAATCAATCTATGTATATAACTTTGTAGCAGTAAACGTACAATACCATAATAGGACAAAAAATTGCCAATTGATCATATAGTTTCCTAGCTTCTCTAATATTACAAGCTTGAATAGTTGTTTGCAGACAACAGCAGCCACCCGCAAAAACTGATGAATCCATATATATATGATCCGGTAAAGCTTCTTCGCAGTCAGCAAATAAATTTTGGCTCTTTTTGTCATGAAAAATCGGAAAATTGAGAGCGAACTTCGATCCTCGACGAAGTTTAGTAGCAGCAATTGCTGCTCTTTTTTGTTTAACATAAATTATATATCATTATATAAAAATACGTGAACAATATATTATGAATTACATACCGAAATTTAACGTGTGGATTCAGGGCTTCATCCGGAACAAATAAACTTCTTGACTCAGGTCCAAATGGCTCATGATGAGGCTCTAAGAATTGACCTGAGCAACCAAGACGTGGGAAACTGACTAAAGTAACTAAACTTTCATTTTGGTTTAAATATTTGGATACAATTTTTCTTCTAAGTTTCATATTTTGTTCAACCAGAGTCAAACTTCTTAAAGAACTTCCGTAAGGAATACCAGGTACTCCTAATTAAACATTCATAAATTATTCACTAAAATAACTAAAATAATTTAAATAATAATTAAATCAAATAAAGTCAAATCAGACCAATACCTTCGATCATATACGCTCCAAATTCGAATATTGGATGGAGGGTAGAATTTCGCTGCATGGAAGTCCAAATAACTGATTTTGAAAATGCTGCATT